AATCGATTTAAACTACTTTTAATTACTGTAAAACATGTCTTTTTACGCGAGCATGTCTTTTTTGCGAATTTAGCGAGAGAACTGATTCGCTAATTCAAGATGTCGCTAATGACTTTATTGTCAATTCAAAATGGCCACCAAACAAAGAATTCAACAATGACAAGAGAGATTCGCTAAATCAACATTTCGCTATTACGTCGTTTTACCACAATTCGCTAAAATTGCATGCCGCTTTGTCAACATGTTTCATTTTCAGTAAACTCAGCGGCTAAAATCCTGCAGAAAATGGAACTCCGGTGCAAATCTACAGACATGCGCAGATGCCAAAACATCGTATGTGCGTAATTACAGAGAATGTCAAGAAACAACAAATTACATGCATATTAGCGTTGGTGAAGAGAAAGGGAAAACAAAAGATTCAATTCTGGAAAGAATATTTTTATTGTATTGTACATAATTTTGTGTCACTGTATGGAGTACAGTACAGTTTGTAATGTATATTTTGATTCACGGGTAAATGTACAGAACAAAACAGACCAGCTCAAAAAATTAAAAAAAATAAAAATAATTAAAAGCCCCAAAGTCACAATAATAAGAGAAGAAATATACTAATTACTTTTTTGAGTCAACAGAGAAACACATACGTAGAAGCATGGCACTACACATACAGTACAAAATATGGAGAGAAATGTCAAAATCAGCGTCTATTGCCAAGCGTGTACTATATATATATACATGGAACGTACTCCGTTAGTACCTGCATGGTATATATTAGAAGTATTCAGGCTGCACCAAGTACGGGCTAAGATTAAAATTAATCCGATATGTTTTTATATCGGCTAGACCCGGTTGCGTTCACGCACGGAGGGGAGGGCAACTGTTTACAGGTTAAGAAACATACTGACGTATTAAAAATTTACGAATCACCAGATCCTACGTTTTGGTGATAGGTCATAAAATAATAACAATGCAAGTACATAAAGTGCACAGAGTAACAGCGATGTCATCGTCTGGCCATTTTTCTCGAGAACAACGTGTCTTTTTAAATTCACGATGAGTCAGGCCTCAATATTGTTTGGTTGTCTGAGGTCAGGCTGATAGGAGCACAACCATAGTGAATAGGAAATGCGTATGTCCCTCTCCCCTCAAAAGCGTGTATGTTTGCGCGAACAACGTAAATGATCGAATTAATCCACCCCCACAAAATTGAAATGTGGGCTAAATCATGACCATTATGATGAAAAAATCTCATTTTCGCACCTCCAACTCTCTAAGACGCTGTGGCAGTTCGTTCCGTACTATGTTTTAGGTTTGTATGCTGAAGAGGTTATTACAATGGTGCCTTGATGAAGCTTACAGCTGAATGGTGGATGATTAAATCCAGGTACTTTTTTACGGTGCCCACGTAATCATGAGAAAGGGGGTCCATTAGTAATTCATACTTGTGTATGCTCGAGTGTTTTTGTCAATCTAAGAATATATGCTACTGTAACAAAACCCAGATTAAAATATATGGATACCAAACTATTTTTCGCACGAGACAGAAGACAAACCTTCGGGTAAATGGCGATTTTCTGGTTATGTACTATTGGTTTCCATGGTAACAAAATCTTATCATAACACATTTTGTTACTTGTCACGAATTCTTGAGAAATTCTAATAAATACTTTTTATCTTTTATTAAATAATGCTTTAAATGATTGAAAATATCTAGAATTTATTCATTTTGCAAGAAATGTGCGAATCGCCTGCCTTTTTCGAGAAAAAGATGGTTGTATGCCAGTGAAAGGCGACCATATTGTCAGTTTATGAAGCTTTAATAATTAGTTTCTATGGTTTCTATTTTTCTTCAAAGTTTTGTTCGATGGATTTTATCCAGAATACGGCGCTACACTAAGCAACGGAATACTGTTTCTTAGTACTATAGATATGTAGTTTCATGCATGACCGTACATTACTATAATTCAATGGAATTGTCATGTGATTTATGATCAACTTTCTTAAATAATATGAGCAGGCGTCTGATTTTACTCGTCAAGTTCATGTACTAGGCGATAATCTCGTTAATTTATTTTTCAAAAATAAAACCTTTCCAAGCGTCCACTGTGTTTTGTGACGTCATTTGACACAAAAAATGTTCGATTAACGCGCCATTATAATATTATATTCAAAACATTTCTGTAAAAGTTTTACCCACATTTACAAAGACACTTTTTTATTACGATATTATTTTGCACCGGTCATAAATAAATCCTGGGACATGGATATCGAAGTTAATTACTTTTTTCTTATCTTCATAAGCACCACGAATTGGGTAATGAGTGACAAACTTTTAAACTGGGACAACCTCGGATACCAGAATGAAAAACAAACAAATACTTGTACTACTGAATATTTTTAATGTAAACTCGAAAGATGAGTATAATTTGCGCGTTGATGCAACGATTCATTGTAATACTAGAACATAGCCAGATTTTGTACAGGTTATTTGTTTTGTTCGTAATACAGTGGAGCTACTCATCTAGCAATGGATTTAGCGGA